GCTCAGTTGAAAATCATATGCATTTATTCAAATCTTAGTCAGCTTCCATTACAAAGTGTGTCATAGTGTATCAAGCCTCTTTCTGGTCCTGGGGTGTCATGCATGGTCCATGCATGGGCACGTAACTAAGGACTAATAGATTAGTTACGAACACAAATTCCATTAGAAAGTGGTCAAATGTAACAAATGTTATTTTTGGGATAACACTTTCTTAGTAAAGTACAGATTCTAATACAGTTTCTAGACTACCAGTGGTCAGACTTTCATTTTTGTGGAAGTGATCGGAATATTGCTGACTCAGCCCTTAAACAACATTCACTCACCAACTCATTCACTTCTAAAGGGAATGCATTCATTATGTCAGATGGTGAGAATAGTCTTAGGTTGTTCTTCCTTCTATAGGTGCTGTGCTATCAAATGCAATTATGTTGGGTTCAAGTCATTGTATTGTGCAATAACTGTTGCCATGGTAACGTGTCATCGGCTGCAGTTGTAGGAGCTGGTCAAAGTGTGTGTCCAGTTTGCTTGTGGGGGCGGTCGGGTAGCCTAGTGGTTACATCGTTTGCTCGTCACGCCGAATACCTGGGTTCGATTCCCGACATGGGTACAATGTGTGAAGCCCATTTCTGGTGTCTTGCCGTGAATATTGCTAAAAGCGGCGTAAAATCATACTCATTCACTGTCTGCTTGTGATGTTTGTGTCTGCCTGCTACACTGGGTCAGACTGTTTCATTGTACATAACATTCATATGTATGCATATTTTGTATGGGAGAGTTCAGTGTCTCCAGCTGGGGGTGGCACTTATTCACTGATGTTTGGATGTATACAGATTTACACCTGATGTTGTGATCCATCTATCCATGTATCAAATCCCTTTTAAATTTTGTATTTATTTTCAAAAGTAATATTTTAATACTCACTGTTGCAGTAATCGTAGCCTGTATCTACTCAGCCTGAGTTATCCTACCTGCATTATGGCTCAATATGCTTGATGTAATGTTACTATAAGGGACCGACCGACCATTTCATATTCTGGAGGAAGAGGACCTGGGATTTTGTATAGAGACAATCTAGTTTTTCAGCTACACCTCAGAACCAGATATTCTTTTAATTAAAACTATGAGTGTAAAAAAAATAATAAAAAAATTAAAAATTGCAAAAATTTAATTTTTGTCACAGACAATTTCTTTCTTTTTTTTCCTGTTTGAAGCATAAATATTTTTCTGGGACAGCTATTGTTTGGATAAAATCCCAGGGCCTCTCCCAGAATATAAAATGGACAATCTCTTCGAATGAATCTAAGATTATGTTTCAAGGTTTGTCAACACCATACCCGTGCTCGTGGGTTTCACCGAAGTGGTAAACGTCCGAGACCTGCATCACTTCGGTCTTTCCTCCAACATTAAGCTGACACGTCTGATATAACTGGAATACTGTTAAAAGCAGCGTTAAACCCAACCCATTCATTCTCCTTTAATGAATTATGTAATTATCACTGGAGTTCAAATATTAATTATTTCACATGGTGTATGTGCATTGTTATGTGTGGCTGCAACACTTTATGCTTTAACACTGATACTGGGTGTACAGTATGCAATACTTCCTGTGGGCTTGGGGTATATACAGTGTTATTGGGATGTCCTTTGTAGGGCTGTTGGTACATCTGCACTCATACTAGATCGTTTTGGAGAAAGTTAAAACGTAGACTATTTGGTAATTGAGTACACATTGTTATATGAGTTTAGTTGTATTTTCACTTAATGAAAACTTCTGATTTAAGAGGTCAGATGATCTGTTACTGTGGTTATTGATAGTTGTGTTAGAATGAACACGATTACTTTATAAGCATGTAGACACGTTACTAGCTGTCATCTACATCAACGAACCTTGACTGTTTTGGGTTGTTGGTTGAGAGAGGAATCAGAAATGACAGTTCTATTTTATAAGTTTGAACATTATTTAGGGGGGACCCTCACTTTATAATAAATGACCCAGTTCCTTCCTGTCCCAGAACAAGCCAGACTAATAGAGAACGGTGCCAACAGTGGGAAATGGAACCCAGGTCTCTGGAAACGGTTCAACCACTGGTTGGTTCACCTGGATTCTTCACAGGCTGCCATGATGTAGATGAAATACTGCTGACTTGGCATGAACCAGATGGAATATTGCTGTCTTGGCATAAAACAGATTAAATAGTGATTTATCATCCAAAACTGGCTCCCACAGGAGATATGGATTTTTTTTAGTTCAAGCGATATCTACATTGTAGATATCGCTGCAATGAAATTGCACCACAATGCTTTGCAGACCATTGTGACATCACTGGTTACCATGACGTCACAATCTAATGACATCACTAATGGCTCTGCTACTGAAGCTGTTAGCAGTACTTTTTACACATAAGACACTGCTTATTACTGTCTTCAAACTGAAAAAGTTTGAAGAATGATGTTGGATGGTAAATAAAATCTCACCCTCGTGTCTTTTGATTTCAAATATATCAACACTCGGGTGAGGTTCTCTATGACTCGGCATAAAACAACATCCACTCACTCACCATTCCAAGTAGAATTGTCTCGGCTTCAGATTATTTAAATGTATTCAATACACAAAATAGAATTCACACAGACCTCTTTGACCTCTGAAGCTTCATTGCATTGCTTCTCTATGGTTTTGTTACAGCGAAACTGGCATTCCTTTTTTCATTGTGATAATTTTCATTGTATAACTGCGTAACTATGGCAACGTGTCTGCTGTCACCATGGTATCTTGTCATTGTAACCATGCCAACGAGCAGAATGTTTATTTTATGCACCAGATGTGATAGGAGTGACCGATGTTTCATTATGAATAAAATATTTATGAATCTATTGCCATGGTTACAGTGATTTTGTTGTACTTTCAGAGTGCAGAGTACTTTCACAAATGTTTGTTTGTTTGTTGTTTAATGCCGCACTCAGCAATATTCCAGCTATATGACGGCGGTATGTAAATAATCAAGTCTGGACCAGACAATCCTGTGATTGCCATCATGAGCATCAGTCCACGCAATTGGGATACGATGACATGCATCAACCAAGTCAGCGAGCCTGACTACCTGATCCCATTAGTCGCCTTTTACGACAAGCATAGTGGCTTTTTAGGGGAAGCATTGGTTGATGAAGACCTATTCTACCCGGGTCCAAAATGAAATGGGGACATTGGTGGCCACACCTCAAGTGCAAAAAGTTCCTGTGCAGAGTTGCTTTTCCTAGGCATGCCAGGAACGTAGAATCCCTAGATTTGTCCTAACTACAGTTCATGGTTTGTCAGCACCATCAGCCCATTCAAAAGTTGTGCAGAGCTTGAAACATCATTGAGACCTACATCACGGTTATTTTGGGTTCGAATCCCGGTTATCCCCGATTGTTTCTTGGATTGTCAGCACCATACCCATGCTTGTGGGTTTCACCAAAAGTGGTAAAGGTCTAAGACCTGCATCACTTCGGGCTTTCCTCCCACATCAAGCTGACACGCCGTGATATAACTGGAATACTGTTAAAAGCGGCGTTAAACCCAGCTCTCTCCTCAGTTATTGTTGTTTGTTGTTTAACGCCGCACTCAGCAATATTCCAGCTATATGCAGCGGTCTGTAAACAATCGAGTCTGGACCAGACAATCCAGTGATTGACATCATGAACATCAATCCACGCAATTTGGATCGATGACATGCATGAACCAAGTCAGCGAGCCTGACCACCCGATCCCGTTAGTTGCCTCTTACGACAAGCATAGTCGCCTTTTACAGCGAGCATGGGTTGCTGAAGACCTATTCTACCCCGGATCTCCACGGGTCTTACCCTCAGTACACCAGTGTGCACCTAATACAGCATAACAAAACAAACACTGCGCCATCACAAGGGCGCCAGTTCACGTCATAGGTCTATGGAAAAAATTACAAACCAAATGATTTCTACAATACATAAAATTTTATTTCTAAAGATGTTAGTAAATGATGATTGTGGTGACATGATTCATATAACAAAAATGGATCAAAATACTGTTCAGTGATGTATGAATACTTGGAATATATTATAGATTTCCACTACTTCAGTGAGTGAGTTGGGTTTAACGCCGCTTTTAACAGTAACCCAGTTATATCACGGCGTGTCAGCTTAATGTGGGAGGAAAGCCCGAAGTGATGCAGGTCTCAGACGTTTACCACTTTGGTGAAACCCACGAGCACGGGTATGGTGCTGACAAACCTAGAAACGTTATCGGGGCGAACCGGGATTGAACCCACAATCATAGGTTTCCGGCGTGCCCAAGGGACGCAGCTCAGCACAGCGAATCGCGGCGCCTTAGACGACTGGGCCACCCGTGCCCCCCACTACTTCACAGGTAGGTAACTGAGGTAACAGTGTTGTAGCAAGTCAGCTCATTACCCACCATGAAACACCAGTAGAGCTTGTTGCTTAATATATATATATGTGCTTCATGAAGCCTACTAAACACTAATACTACTTTGCCATACCACAATACATATAACATTGCTAATTCAATCATACCTTATATCCCACAAAAAAAAAAGCAAAATAATTTGTCAGAACACATTCTCTGACCTGAATGTACCCATGTCGGGAATCGAACCCGGGTCTTAGGCCTGACGACTGAACGCTTTAACCACTAGGCTACCCGACCGCCCTTCACAATCATGAAATCAAATAGGACAAGTAGTTCATGAAACTCTCCAACGACCATGGTGCCCAATGGTACCCACTGCACCAAATAGTATATTACATTTCAACAACCTAGAACAAAAATATGAAACCCAGTTTACTCATCACTTTCAATAAATGGCGCTCTTCACAATGAAGTCTGGAAAGTCACAAGGAAAGGAAACACAGCACTAATGCAGAGTATATTCAATACAATACAATTCTGGTGAGTTCAATACAAATACCTCCCTCCACCAACACAATTCTCTGGGGGTGGGGGGGGGGGGTGGGGGGGGGGGGGGGGGTGGGAGTACTAGGCACACAAAACAACCTCGGGTCTTCTGCAACAAGGTAGGATTTGTGTCCTGTCCAGCTCATAGAAAACATTAAATTATACGTTAAGGAAAAAGTTGAAATATTGTTACGACTTCTAGAATTAAGGTAGGCACAAGTCCATACCTGCTGACGTGCATGGGAAATTTGCTTCAATAAAACCCCTTGAAATTTTAACCTATTTGGGTTTATTGTAAGTACACAACCTGCAAGTGTTTAGAAGGCAAAGACCAATTCTCATTTATGTGAACATATCTGGCAACTTCATAAAGATTCATACCAGTTGATCATTTGTTAAATTTTTCAGATCTTGTGGGTAAATGAAGACTCTGTTCCAAAACACACACAAGTCAAGGGAGATAACTGATACCTGCAGTCAATCCTAGAACCAGTCTGACTTGGCACATCCTGGTTTTATGGTGGAGTATCGCTACATTTGTACACCCTAGTACCGGAGCTGACTCTAACATGTTGTATCTTCTGTACATAGTCTGTCTGTCTGTCTGTCTGCTGTCTACATTGTGGGTTCTGTTGTTGAGGCAACATTCAACACCATGTTGTAGAGGAGTTCATATATCTAGTGTTGGAGCAGTGTCGAGCAGTGTCGAGCCATCCAGCTGGCTCGCTGCTGTTGGTGGGGACCACTGCTACATCGTGGGACATCATCTGGTGGGATGCAGGGGCCACATGGGGGGTGCCTTGCGGATCACCGCCTTCATCCTGTCCTTCACCTTCATGAAGTGTTTCTTGAACTCCAGACCATCCCCCTGCGAACAAATAGGAGTGAGTGAGTGAGTGAGTGAGTGAGTGAGTGAGTGAGTGAGCAGCACTTTAAGTAATATTCCAGTCATAAGGACAGGGGCATGTCATAAGGACAAGGGGCATCTCATAAGGACAGGGGTATCTGATAAGGACAGGGGGCATCTCATAAGGACAGGGGGCATGTCATAAGGACAGGAGGCATGACATCAGGACAGGGGCATGTCATAAGGACAAGGGGCATCTCATAAGGACGGGGGCATGTCATGAGGACAGGGGGCATGTCATAAGGACAAGGGGCATCTCATAAGGACAGGGGCATGTCATAAGGACAAGGGGCATCTCATAAGGACAGGGGTATCTGATAAGGACAGGGGGCATCTCATAAGGACAGGGGGCATGTCATGAGGACAGGGGGCATGTCATAAGGACAAGGGGCATCTCATAAGGACAGGGGCATGTCATGAGGACAGGGGGCATGTCATAAGGACAAGGGGCATCTCATAAGGACGGGGGCATGTCATAAGGACGGGGGCATGTCATAAGGACAGGGGGCATGACATCAGGACAGGGGCATGTCATAAGGACAGGAGGCATGACATCAGGACAGGGGCATGTCATAAGGACAAGGGGCATCTCATAAGGACAGGGGCATGTCATGAGGACAGGGGGCATGTCATAAGGACAAGGGGCATCTCATAAGGACAGGGGCATGTCATAAGGACAGGGGGCATGTCATAAGGACAGGGGCATGTCATGAGGACAGGGGGCATCTCATAAGGACAGGGGCATCTCATAAGGACGGGGGCATGTCATAAGGACGGGGGCATGTCATAAGGACAGGGGGCATGACATCAGGACAGGGGCATGTCATAAGGACAGGAGGCATGACATCAGGACAGGGGCATGTCATAAGGACAAGGGGCATCTCATAAGGACGGGGGCATGTCATAAGGACAGGGGGCATCTCATAAGGACGGGGGCATCTCATAAGGACGGGGGCATGTCATAAGGACGGGGGCATGTCATAAGGACAGGGGGCATCTCATAAGGACAGGGGTATCTGATAAGGACAGGGGGCATGTCATGAGGACAGGGGGCATCTCATAAGGACAGGGGTATCTGATAAGGACAGGGGGCATGACATAAGGACAGGGGGCATGTCATAAGGACAGGGGGCATCTCATAAGGACAGGGGTATCTGATAAGGACAGGGGGCATGACATAAGGACAGGGGGCATGTCATAAGGACGGGGGCATCTCAAAGGATTGGGGGGGGGGGGGGGGGGGAGAGACATAAGCATGTCATAAGGACGCGGCCTTGCGGATCACTGCCTACATCCTGTCCTTCACCTTCATGAAGTGTTTCTTGAACTCCAGACCATAATAAGAATTGGGGGCATGTCAGAAAGACGCGACACCAAGAGTCGGCTACCAAAATTTACCCATGTATGAATTCTCATGAAGAGTCAAGTTATCAATGAGTTCAGTCAATCATGGGCACAGACATGCTGCAAGGAAAGCCTTTGACTGAAGGGGAACAACACAACACTCAAACAGGCAGTCCAGCAAGTTTGAATCAGATCCGTTATACATACAGCACTCCACTGGTCTGTTGATCAGACTTCAAAATAAGCGCCTGCCCGTAGGCCCATGGCAAGCAGTTCTTGTGTCAGGCCCCTAGTTTCAAAGTGGCATGGGTCCTTATGATCTGCAGTATATTTATGTGTCATTTGTCACAATAAGGTGCAGTTTTTTAAATGAGGGCCTGAAGAGTTTAGTCAGGGCCTGCAGCTTCTAAAATCTGAAGGGTCCGGAAGTCAGCCTGGCAATTTTATTTTTTCTCAAACACTGCAGTTGATTAACCCTCCTGTCTGAAGTTGGTTGGTTTGTTGTTTAACGCCGCACTCAGCAATATTCCAGCTATATCACGGCGGTCTGTAAATAATCGTGTCTGGACCAGACAATCCAGTGATTGATATCATGAGCATCGATCTACGCAACTGGGATCGTTGACATGCATCAACCAAGTCAGCGAGCCTGACCACCCGATCCCGTTAGTCACTTTTACGACAAGCATAGTCGCCCTTTACAGCAAGCATGGGTTGCTGAAGACCTATTCTACCCCGGATCTTCACGGGTCCAGTCTGAAGTGCAGGATGTTGAACATCTTAACAGTAACATAGGTAGGGATCTTCAGGAGGTACTTGCAGTTTCCAGAATCTATATACATTGTCTTCTATCAATAAATATTTCAACATTTAACAGTGACCTATTGTTAGATTCCAAATACAAGTGATGTACCTGCAGCTTATACTTTTCTCACCCACCAAAGTAAAAGAGTGAGTGAGTAAGTTTGATTTTACGCCGCGTTTTAGCAATATTCCAGCAATATCACGGCGGGGGACACCAGAAATGGGCTTCACATATTGTTCCCATGTCAGGAATCGAATCGGGTCTTCGGCATGACGAGCGAACGCTTTAACCACTGGGCTACCCAACCGCCCCCAAAAGTAAAAGACCTTTGTCTGATGAAATAAATTCAAATAATACTTGTTTTATTTTGTGACTGGGATATTGGCTCTGGTTGATTGAATCCTTAAATCCAAAAATTTAGAAAGTGTTCAATTATGTTGAGCCTGTGTTGAGTGGAAATGGATGCCACTGCGGGGTGATGAGTCTTCCAAGAAAGGAACCCCTCTCAGTGCTTTAAACACAAGTAGTTACAAAGCTGTTGACACTTTCACTTGGATCAAGACTCACAAGAATCTATCCTTAACTGGAAAAGAAACTCTGAATTAAACAAAGCAGAATTTTTCGTGAGTGTTATGTCACCTTGGAGAGTCTGAAGTCTACCAGTAGGTTATCTCCCATGTCAATGATGCAGGCTTTGAACACCAGGGGGTTGTTTCTCTTGTCCTTGGTTGTCACGGTCAGCTGTAGAAGTGAGCGTGAACCATATTACAGCAATCTTAAAAATAGACTTATCAAGGGATGACATAATCTGGCATTATCAACATATCAATTTGCACGATGAGATTACGTTTTTGTTTGTTTGTTTGTTTAATGCTGCACTCAGCAATATTCCAGCTATATGGTGGTGGACTGTAAATAATCGAGTCTGGTCCAAACAATCCAGTGATTGACATCATGAGCATCAAACCACACAATTGGGATCTGACAAGCATCAACCAAGTCAGTGAGCCTGACCATCCTATCCCGTTAGTCACCTCTTACGACAAGCATAGTTGCCCTTTAGAGCAAGCATGGGTTGCTGAAGACCTATTCTACCCCGGATCTTCATGGGTCAGATTACACAGTAGTAGCATTAGGCAGTTTGCAACTGTCTGTGTGTTTTCGGAAGCAACATTCCAAATCATATATACGGCACCCTGATTCGAGCCAGGGAACTTCTTGTATGTGTCACACTACATGAAATACTCCAGGGTGTCATTGTACAAAACAACCTTAACTCTACGACTGTTGCAAGTCTATGTTAAGGTATGGAGTTACGATCACCTTAGTGCTAAGATGGCTTTGTACAACAGCACCCTGATTCCAGCCAGGGAACTTCTTGTATGTGTCACACTACATGAAATACTCCAGGGTGTCATTGTACAAAACAACCTTAACTCTACGACTGTTGCAAGTCTATGTTAAGGTATGGAGTTACGATCACCTTAGTGCTAAGATGGCTTTGTACAACAGCACCCTGATTCCAGCCAGGGAACTTCTTGTATGTGTCACACTACATGAAATACTCCAGGGTGTCATTGTACAAAACAACCTTAACTCTACGACTGTTGCAAGTCTATGTTAAGGTATGGAGTTACGATCACCTTAGTGCTAAGATGGCTTTGTACAACAGCACCCTGATTCCAGCCAGGGAACTTCTTGTATGTGTCACACTACATGAAATACTCCAGGGTGTCATTGTACAAAACAACCTTAACTCTACGACTGTTGCAAGTCTATGTTAAGGTATGGAGTTACGATCACCTTAGTGCTAAGATCGCTTTGTACAACAGCACCCTGATTCCAGCCAGGGAACTTCTTGTATGTGTCACACTACATGAAATACTCCAGGGTGTCATTGTACAAAACAACCTTAACTCTACGACTGTTGCAAGTCTATGTTAAGGTATGGAGTTACGATCACCTTAGTGCTAAGATGGCTTTGTACAACAGCACCCTGATTCCAGCCAGGGAACTTCTTGTATGTGTCACACTACATGAAATACTCCAGGGTGTCATTGTACAAAACAACCTTAACTCTACGACTGTTGCAAGTCTATGTTAAGGTATGGAGTTACGATCACCTTAGTGCTAAGATCGCTTTGTACAACAGCACCCTGATTCCAGCCAGGGAACTTCTTGTATGTGTCACACTACATGAAATACTCCAGGGTGTCATTGTACAAAACAACCTTAACTCTACGACTGTTGCAAGTCTATGTTAAGGTATGGAGTTACGATCACCTTAGTGCTAAGATGGCTTTGTACAACAGCACCCTGATTCCAGCCAGGGAACTTCTTGTATGTGTCACACTACATGAAATACTCCAGGGTGTCATTGTACAAAACAACCTTAACTCTACGACTGTTGCAAGTCTATGTTAAGGTATGGAGTTACGATCACCTTAGTGCTAAGATGGCTTTGTACAACAGCACCCTGATTCCAGCCAGGGAACTTCTTGTATGTGTCACACTACATGAAATACTCCAGGGTGTCAATGTACAAAACAACCTTAACTCTACGACTGTTGCAAGTCTATGTTAAGGTGCGGAGTTACGATCACCAAGCCAGGGAACTTCTTGTGTCTCTGACGCTAACCATGCTGGGACTGCTCTTCTTCCAGGTGTAGGTGAGGCTGTCGAACACCTTGTACATCTCACTCAGTGTCTCGTCCCGGCAAGTCTTCACAAAGAACCGCGTCATTCGTCTCACCAGTTTCTGCATGGGCGTCTACAGTGGGAAAAACAAGATGGGGTCTCAGTCACCGGTTCTCTAATGGTGAGTGAGTGAGTTGGGTTTAACGCCGCTTTTAACAGTATTCCAGTTATATCACGGCGTGTCAGCTTAATGTGGGAGGAAAGCCCGAAGTGATGCAGGTCTCAGACGTTTACCACTTCGGTGAAACCCACGAGCACAGGTATGGTGCTGACATACCTAGAAACATAATTGGGGTGAACCGGGATTCGAACCCACAATCGTAGGTTTCTGGCGTGCCCAAGGGACGCAATTCAGCACAGAGAATCGCGGCGCCCTAGACGACTGGGCCACCCGTGCCCCCGGTTCTCTAATGGGCAGTTATAGGTGTACAAAACAACCTGAATTCATTCCAAGTATCACGGGTAAAACATTGGCGCAATCTCATTAAATTCACAGCATTAGAAATTGGCACTCGTCCTATAGTCCTTGCCAAAGTGTCCAATAGTTAAGGTATTATAAGGATACCATAAAAATTTGCCATTTTTAAGGCTTTTTTTGTGTGCTATATTTCATCATCATGAGCACTAATGGGTAAAAATATTAGTTTCTACCGCTGAAATCATATCTGTGTTGTCACTACCGCAAAACGAAGATCTGCGGACATCCCATTACAGTCATCAGAACAACCTTTCACGACATTAGCCAATCAGAAAGCAGCTTTCTCAAGCTTTTTGGCACTAGTTTCAAACTGGCGACTTCCATTCCTGAGTACACTTTGAAAATTATTTTGACGAGGTTGCGATTCAACATTTGAAAACTGAAACAAAAGTACACTTGGAAAGAAGGCCAAGATTGCATGGTAGTACTTCCCACAGGCAACAGAGTCTCTACCAGTCAAATGTTTATCCCATTGAAGCGAGCGATAGATGATGATTTTGATGGAATCAGTCGACCGGCCCGTTGTTCGGAATACCCTGTTCTAACATCTTCAACGTTGCATGATATTAGTTTGTTTGTTTGTTTGTTGTTTAACGCCGCACTCATCAATATTCCAGCTATATGATGGCGGTCTGTAAATAATCGACTCTGGACCAGACAATCCAGTGATTAATATCATGAGCATTGATCCACGCAACTGGGATACAATGACATGCATCAACCAAGTCAGCGAGCCTGACCACCCGATCACGTTGGGTCTCTTTTATGACAAGCATAGTCACCTTTTACGGCAAGCATGGGTTGCTGAAGACCTATTCTACCCCGGATCTTCACGGGGCTGCATGATATTAAAAATCATTCCAACTGTCACATTTGCTCTGAGGTGACAAATAACGGGATGTCCTCAGTTCTTTGTTCAGCGGAAGCGAGAACTAAGATATAATTTCAATGAGATTGGACTGGATTTGTCAACCAAGGTCTAAAAAACGTCTAGCCTAATGTTGCTACATCTTGTACCTATTTACATGCCCTCACCTGTGACGACCCTGGTGTGCCCTGTATCTGGCTACTCAGCAGCATCTTGTCTGCCTGTACCGGCTGGGAGAAGCTGATCTAGTGATTGTTTACCTATGTGCATCAACTCACCTGTGACGACCCCGGTGTGCCCTGTATCTGGCTACTCAGCAGCATCTTGTCTGCCTGTACCGGCTGGGAGAATCTCATCTATTGATTGTTTACCTATGTACATCCCCTTACCTGTGACGACCCCGGTGTGCCCTGTATCTGGCTACTCAGCAGCATCTTGTCTGCCTGTACCGGCTGGGAGAATCTCATCTATTGATTGTTTACCTATGTACATCCCCTCACCTGTGACGACCCCGGTGTGCCCTGTATCTGGCTACTCAGCAGCATCTTGTCTGCCTGTACCGGCTGGGAGAAGCTCATCAGGTGGTCCTCCCCAGTGCCACTCTCAGTTACCTCCCCTTGTGAGTCAGCCCGATAGGCCATGGGCTGACTGCTGGATACCGTAGCCCTGGAGAACACATCACGCACTCACATCATACTCCTACATATGTATCAGAGGTGAGGTGAAATGGGGTTTAACGTCACGTCAAAGATTATTGCACTAAAATAGCGACGTGCAAGCACGTGTTTGTGTGTGCGTGGCTGCTTGTACTAGTCTGGACTGATGCCGTTTATAGTGCTAGCTCATTGAGATACCATGCTGCAGCTTAACATGAAAACCATAAGAGAGACCCAGTATACTGACTCCGAGCCGACCAAATGCCGAGCGCTAGACAGGGTAACACAAAGGACCATCTTTTAACGTCTTTTGGTGTGACGTGGCCGGGGTTAAAACTCCGGACCTTCTCCTCTCCAGACGGATGCTCTACCACTAGACCACTGAGGCGGTCATATGTATCAGAAGAAATGAATAACACTTTTTGTTAACTTGTCCAACTTATTGCCATCTTAGGCAAAGTTACATGGAATCTAAATTTTACATCTTTCCAAATATTCTGAAGTTTAATACACTACTGCCATCGCAAGACCCTATTATTAATATGAATACAGCACAGTCCTTGTTTTATGCCAATACCGTAACAACACAAATACTACAACATAGACATTATATTAAAAATGCTTTTGTTAAAAAAAGCAAAGAAATGCGTTATATTTTTTAACTGTTTGCACCTTAATTGTATTTCGTTTGTACCGGCCGCGATATAACTGGAATAATGTTAAAAGCGGCGTTAAACCCAACTCACTCACTCTCTCACTCGTTTGTACCAAAAGGCCCATGGCCTACAAGTACTGATTAAAGTGAAAAGACACACTGCCTGCATACTAATGTACCATGTTGAGCAGCTCCTACTTACCCTGGGGATCAGCCAGGCGGGGTGGTAGTCAGCTGCATGAGTGAGTGAGTGAGTATGGTTTTACGCCGCTTTTAGCAATATTCCAGCAATATCACGGCGGGGGACAGCAGAAATGGGCTTCACACATTGTACCCATGTCGGGATTGGAACCTGTCAGCTGCATGAGGTAATTGAGATCTCTGTGGTAGATTTCGCTATAGCAGCAGTTGTGGGAGACAACAGCCTCGGTATAACAGTGGTAACGTATTACTTAATGTAATATATTAGGGATTTGTCTTGACCTACTCAGAGGCCGATATTCGGCCCCAAGGCTCCAGCAAATATCTAAAATTCCCAAATTGGAATTATTAATTTCCAAATTGATGGAATAACTAATAAATCATTTAGTTTTCGAGAAAATTCGTCCCCAATGAGGAGTGGATGGACTGAAGGATGGATGAACCCCGTTCCAATATCCCCGCCCCATTTCTTGGCGGCGATAAATATGAGGATAAAGGCAACTGGTATTTCACTGATAACAGGATCAGTAAAGAGGAACAGGTTTAAAAACTTAGTTTTATATCATTACATTGAATGCAATCTCAAGACAACAATGTTACATACCTCTGAATTTCAGAGTGAGTGAGTATGGTTTTACGCCGCTTTTAGCAATATTCCAGCAATATCACGGCGGGGGACACCAGAAATGGGCTTCACACATTGTACCCATGTCAGGAATCGAACCCGGGTCTTCGGCGTGACGAGTGAACGCTTTAACCACTAGGCTACCCGACCGCCCCTGAATTTCAGAGACTACGAACTTCCAAAAAAATCCTATTTCTGTACATGTACATGTAGACCCACTGCTTATAAGCTGGTGTACCATGTCGTGGCAGCTTCTACTCACCCTGGGGAACAGCCAGGCGGGGTGGTGTCCACCCGGGAACACATCCGCTTAAACACCCCGGGGCCGGACGGGGAGTCGGTCGGTGAGCCGGACGCCACGCGAGATAGTCCTGCACAAACAGTCGCAAGTCTTGTACACAGACGTAAGAGCTTATTTGTGTTAATGGTCAGTTGCTCATGACTGAAACGCTTGTACAATAGTCAGTGCTGGGAATGCTATCTGCACTGAATGTGTAAATTAGAGTTAGCTCCCTTGGTTATAAACAAACAGAAGAGATGACATCATTGGAGAAGTTTTGCAATGTGTTTCTAGAAGACTTGCTGTATGAGCAACACATATCTACCTGCCAAGTGAGGAATGGATATAGCTGTATATTAACAGTTTATCAATATCTTATTAACAGGGAGTCTACAATCCCTACATGAAAACATGGACTAGCTGCCAGCTTCTAACACTATTCCAGATTCAGGAACAGAGCACGGGCCAAGTCTGGACATTCCTAGAGCATGGACATGTATCAAAGGGCGTGCTACTTATTGCTGCCGCCACCACTTATTTCACCAGTTGTATTGCCATCTGTGATTGTACACCTGGACACACCGATTTCTGGGTTAACCTCTGTGTCCATGAGTGTCTACAGTCCATGAATGTTAACCGTCCATGAGTGTCCACTGTCCGTGAGTGTCCACCGGCCGTGAGTGTCTACCGGCCATGATTGTCTACCGTCCATGATTGTCTACCGGCCGTGAGTGTCCACCGTCCATGAGTGTCCACCGTCCTTGTCTACTGTCCATCGTCCATGAGTGTCTACCATCCATGAGTGTCCACCGTCCGTGATTGTCCATGAGTGTCCACCGTACATGAGTCTACCGTCCATAAGTGTCCACTGTCCGTGAGTGTCCACCGTCCGTGAGTGTCCACTGTCCATGAGTGTCCACCGTCCGTGTCTACTGTCCATCGTCCATGAGTGTCTACTGTCCATGAGTGTCCACCGTCCATGTCTACTGTCCATCGTCCATGAGTGTCTACTGTCCATGAGTGTCCTATCATCCATGAAGTGTCCACCGTCCGTGTCTACCGTCCGTGAGTGTCCACTGTCCATGAGTGTCTACAGTCCGTGTCTACTGTCCATCGTCCATGAGTGTCTACTGTCCATGAGTGTCCTATCATCCATGAAGTGTCCTATCATCCATGAAGTGTCCACCATCCATGAGTGTCCTATCATCCATGAAGTGTCCACCGTCCGTGTCTACCGTCCTTGAGTGTCCACTGTCCATGAGTGTCTACAGTCCGTGTCTACTGTCCATCGTCCATGAGTGTCTACTGTCCATGAGTGTCCTATCATCCATGAAGTGTCCACCATCCATGAGTGTCCTATCATCCATGAAGTGTCTACAGTCCGTGTCTACTGTCCATGTGTCCATGAGTGTCTACTGTCCATGTGTCCATGAGTGTCTACTGTCCATGAGTGTCCACCGTCCGTGAGTGTCTACCATTCGTGAGTGTCCACCATCCATGAGTGTCCACCGTCCATGAGTGTCCACCGTCCATGAGTGTCCACCGTCCGTGAGTGTCCACCGTCCGTGAGTGTCCACTGTCCATGTGTCCACCGTCCGTGAGTGTCCACCGTCCGTGAGCGTCGACCTTCTGTGAGTGTCTACCGTCCATGAGTGTCTACCGTCCATGAGCGTCCTATCATCCATGAGTGTCTACTGTCTGTGAGTGTCTACCGTCCATGAGCGTCCTATCATCCATGAGCATCTACCGTCCATGAGCGTCCTATCATCCATGAGTGTCTACCGTCCATGAGCGTCTACCGTCCATGAGCGTCCTATCATCCATGAGCGTCTACCATCCATGAGTGTCTACCGTCTGTGAGTGTCTACCGTCCATGAGTGTCTATCATCCATGAGTGTCTACCGTCCATGAGCGTACTATCATCCATGAGTGTCTACCGTCTGTGAGTGTCTACGGTCCATGAGCGTACTATCATCCATGAGTGTCTACTGTCTGTGAGAGTCTACCGTCCATGAGTGTCCACCGTCTGTGAGAGTCTACCGTCCATGAGCGTACTATCATCCATGAATGTCTACCGTCCATGAGCGTACTATCATCCATGAGTGTCTACTGTCTGTGAGAGTCTACCATCCATGAGTGTCCACCGTCTGTGAGTGTCTACCATCTGTGAGTGTCCTCCTGTCTGTGAGTGTCTACCGTCCATGAGTGTCTACCGTCCATGAGTGTCTACCGTCCATGAGTGTCTACCGTCCATGAGTGTCCACCGTCCATGAGTGTCCACCGTCCATGAGTGTCTACCGTCCATGAGTGTCCTACCTCTCTTGTAGAAGGTCTTCGTGAACCACTGATGCTTCTTGATCTGTTCCATCTTGTACCGCTTGCTGGCGTTCTCCACTAGTAGTTTCCGTAGCAACGCTGCAACAGGGGAGATAACTTGCCCAATGTTACAGTCTACTTTCAGCTAAACATTCCACCTAGAATTTGAGCCCATTTGATATTCAATTTTTATTTTTTCCAACAGTCAGAAGCACAAATGTTTTTTTCAAGTAATTTCCGTAACATTTTTTTCCCCGATAAAATCCCCATCCCCTCCACAAGAATATCAAATGGTTGGCACTTTATCAATGGATAGTGAGTGTTGAACAGTATTTCACTTATATCTTGGCGTGTGGACGGAAAGCCCAAAGTGATGCAGAGCTCAGACAATAATCTGTATCACGACGAATCTGGTAATCAAACACATATTCATTGCATTCTGGCGCTCCTAAGGGAGAGAACTTTGCTGCATCTTAGACGAATGGGCCCCGATTCTTTAAGAGCAGATCATGATGTCCATATATTAGTGTTCATATACTACTAAAAAATGGTTAAGGACCACCTGATTAATTCATATTAATATAGTTAATTACTACAATTAACATAATTATCATATTCGACGTAATAAGCGTCCAGGGCGCTCTCAAAATTAGAAATAGGGGGCTCTTATTAGAATTTAATTTTGGTGAGATTAAAAACGAGGTTGAAAGATTGTAAATTTTGTGGTTTCTGCTGACAGCCTGAAATGATATTATAGAAGAATCTGTGCGTATTATACACAGCAGATATATTTTTGAGAATTTAATTGCCCATAATTAAGTGTGCATATAACAAAAGAGTGCGTATTATACACGAATAAATAAGTCTTGTGTACATTGATCAATCGGAAAGGGGTGCCTACTGGGATTGTTCACTAGCCAATATATTAGCAAATAACGCTGTGGGCGCTTATTACGGTATAGCAGTGTTCAAATACCTGCCTGCCTGACCGTCTGAGACGGGTTGATTTCAACTCGGGCTGCCAGATTTTCAAATCCCCCTGCCCGACGGTCGGGTTATATTTCATATGTAAAAATATTCTAAATATTTCCCGATGATAAGCATTATTTACATGATGTATTCTAGGATATTAAATACAAATCTGACCTAAAAAGTGTTTGCTATTTCTTTTCTTGCATTACTTCATGTTCAATGAATTCGATTTAACGTTTTAATTAAATTATCCTGAGAAACATATGATTATAGTGGGCAGGCAGGTTTTGGTCAGGGCTGGCAAGTATTTCAGCTAGCAAGTCCTGTGGTCTGGCTGAAAATTTTGGGAGTTTCATACCCTGGGTATAATAATATGACAGATTTGGGTGGTCCTTAACTTTATCTAACTAGTAAATGTTATGAAATGGAAATTCTTACAAATAGGTATTGCCTCCAATTTCAGCAATGTCCAAATCAAATTTGATTTGTGACGGGAAGACTTTACTATTCCTGCAGAACATTTTGGAGTAATTTCAGAACTGTCCATCTGACAAAAAAACTCTCAACATGTGCTGACTGACTGCTTATTCTGCAGGTTTTGTTTGTTTGTTTGTTTAACGTTTAACGCCACACTCAGCAATATTCCAGCTATATGACAGTGGTCTGTAAATAATCAAGTCTGGACCAGACAATCCAGTGATTGACAACATGAGCATCGATCCACGCAATTGGGAATGATGACATTCTTCAACCAAGTCAGCGAGTCTGACCACCCGATCCCGTTAGCCGCCTCTTACGACAAGCATAGTCGCCGTATACGGCAAGCATGGATTGCTGAAGACCTATTCTACCCGGATCTTCACGGGTCTATTCTGCAAGTACAACTATTGTGCTCACACAGTGCCAGATTGTCGATCTTGTTCCAGGGCGTGAGGGTGATCTTGCAGTCCTTCCAATCACAGTACTCCTGACACCCGTACGTCGGCTCATCCCACGGCAGCTCTACAACAGGCAGGCAGCAAACATGCTACAAATACATTCACTAGTGGAAACGTTACATAGCAGATGGGGTGTACCCATACCTACAATATTGATACCTCCACAGTCCATGAATACCTCCACTGTCTATGAATACCTCCACTGTCTATGAATACCTCCACTGTCTATGAATACCTCCACTGTCCAAGAATACCTCCACTGTCTATGAATACCGCTACTTTCTATGAATACCTCCACTGTCTATGAATACCGCTACTTTCTATGAATACCTCCACTGTCTATGAATACCTCCACTGTCTATGAATACCTCCACTGTCTATGAATACCGCTACTTTCTATGAATATCTCCACTGTCTATGAATACCGCTACTTTCTATGAATACCTCCACTGTCTATGAATACCTCCACTGTCTATGAATACCGCTACTTTCTATGAATACCTCCACTGTCTATGAATACCGCTACTTTCTATGAATACCTCCACTGTCTATGAATACCTCCACTGTCCATGAATACCTCCACTGTCCAAGAATACCTCCACTGTCTATGAATACCGCTACTTTCTATGAATACCTCCACTGTCTATGAATACCTCCACTGTCCAAGAATACCTCCACTGTCTATGAATACCGCTACTTTCTATGAATACCTCCACTGTCTATGAATACCGCTACTTTCTATGAATACCTCCACTGTCTATGAATACTGCTACTTTCTATGAATACCTCCACTGTCTATGAATACCGCTACTTTCTATGAATACCGCTACTTTCTATGAATACCTCCACTGTCTATGAATACCGCTACTTTCTATGAATACCGCTACTTTCTATGAATACCTCCACTGTCTATGAATACCGCTACTTTCTATGAATACCTCCACTGTCTATGAATACCTCCACTGTCTATGAATACCGCTACTTTCTATGAATACCTCCACTGTCTGTCAATACAGCAAATGTCTATCAATACCTACTCTATCAGTACCTTTGCTGTCTATCAATACCTTCACTGTCTATCAAAACCTACTCTATCAGTACCTTCGCTGTCTATCAGTACCTTCGCTGTCTATCAATACCTTCACTGTCTATCAATACCTTCGCTGTCTATCAATACCTTCACTGTCTATTGATACCTTCGCTGTCTATCAATACCTTCACTATCAACACCTTCGCTGTCTATCCATACCTTCGCTGTCTATCAATACCTTCACTGTCTATCAACACCTTCGCATGTCTATCAATACCTTCACTGTCTATCAACACCTTCGCATGTCTATCAATACCTTCACTGTCTATCAACACCTTCGCTGTCTATCAATACCTTCACTGTCTATCAATACCTTCGCTGTCTATCAATACCTTCGCTGTCTATTGATACCTTCGCTGTCTATCAATACCTTCACTGTCTATCAACACCTTCGCTGTCTATCAATACCTTCACTGTCTATCAATACCTTCGCTGTCTATCAATACCTTCGCTGTCTATTGACACCTTCGCAGTCTATCAATGTATCCACACAGTGAGTGCTATTTAAGCACTGGACCAGCCATGTCACAGCAGCGTGTAACGCCTGGACCAGACAAACCAGTGACTGAAATCATGAGCAACAAACCAAACCACTCCATCAGCCAAGTCACGGGACCTAAACACTTGATCCCCATATTCAACTCGTGCAACTGTCATAACCCCCTATGACCTATTATTCCTAGGAATCCAAGGCTTGGTCAGAGAACTGTGTTACCTCCTGCGAGTAACGCCACCAGGACGACAGCACACGACCAGATGTCGGCCGGCTCTGCGCTGTATGGTCGGCGACTCAGTACCTCCGGGGCGACGTAGGGGACGGTGCCGCAGCACTTTTCCAGCATCCTCACCCGCCCCTGGTAGCGGAACACCGTCGCCAGGCCAAAGTCCGAGATCTTCAGCTTATCTGGGGAGAGGCAAAACAACACACATCAATACTATGTTGGAACTGCTGTCTAATCATGAAATAGGTCTAGGCACCATCTGTTGTCTAGGAGATGAAGGTTAGGCGACAATTTATGTACTATTCTACATCTGACAGGGATATTCGGAGTGTCCAGGTGGACAATCTAACTGGTTGTTGTGAATACTCAATGACGTTTAGAAAGTGGTCAAATGTAACTAATGTTATATTTGGTATAACATTTTCTTAGTAAAGTACAGATTCTCGTACTTTTGGTTGAGTCCCGTCCGGGATTCAAACCCACACTGCCAGAGTGAGGCACCTAATCGCACAAAAAGTCAGCAATCGAACCCGCTCAGCCACCGAGGCTTCCACAAAAATGGAAGTCCGACAACTGGTAGTCGACATCACATACTTTGAGTACCCCTCTGACAAGTGTAAATTGGCACGGCTCCCATGGCTGAAAGCTATGAATACACAATGCCATTTAGAAAGTGGTCAAATGTAACTAATGTTATATTTGGGATAACACTTTGGGTTAGAACGCGGACTTTGAATGCTGGCGATTAGGTGCCTCACTCTGGCAGTGTGAAGCTTTACTGCGGTGACTTCAGCTGTTTTATCTCACCAACATCATCAAGCAGCAGGTTCTCTGGCTTCAGGTCTCGATGGGTGACGCCGCGGGAGTGGAGGTACTCCTGAAAACACACATACTCTCATGTAATTGATGGAGGTTTCTCCTAGGATGCTGACACAAATGCATGTTTCCATACACAGAGTGATGCTTAGGTTCTCAGGATTGCTGCTATAGTATCAGAGTCTATGGACCCTTAAATATTTAATTTTGAACAAGCACCCAATAACGTAACCCCTCACCACCTCCACAACCAGCCGATGGAAAACCCCTAGGAGCCACCCCACCCCTGCCACCAGCTGATGGAAGACCATTAGGAGCCACCCTGCCCCACCCCTGCCACCAGCTGATGGAAGTACCCCTAGGAGCCACCCTGCCCCACCCCCGCCACCAGCTGAAGGCAAACCCCTAGGAGCCACCCCGCCCCACCCCCGCCACCAGCTGATGGAAGTACCACTAGGAGCCACCCCGCCACCAGCTGATGGAAGACCCCTAGGAGCCACCCCGCCCCACCCCCGCCACCAGCTGATTGAAGTACCACTAGGAGCCACCCCACCCCACCCCAGTATCATCACACTCCTACAGAGGTACTCACCACCCCGCCACCAGCTGATGGAAGTACCACTAGGAGCCACCCCACCCCACCCCAGTATCATCACACTCCTACAGAGGTACTCACCACCCCCGCCACCAGCTGATGGAAGTACCACTAGGAGCCACCCCACCCCAGTATCATCACACTCCTACGGAGGTACTCACCACCCCTGCCACCAGCTGATGGCAGTACCACTAGGAGCCACCCCACCCCACCCCAGAATCATCACACTCCTACAGAGGTACTCACCACCCCCGCCACCAGCTGATGGCAGTACCACTAGGAGCCACCCCACCCCACCCCAGTATCATCACACTCCTACAGAGGTACTCACCACCCCGCCACCAGCTGATGGAAGTACCACTAGGAGCCACCCCACCCCAGTATCATCACACTCCTACAGAGGTACTCACCACCCCCGCCACCAGCTGATGGAAGTACCACTAGGAGCCACCCCACCCCACCCCAGTATCATCACACTCCTACAGAGGTACTCACCACCCCCGCCACCAGCTGATGGAAGTACCACTAGGAGCCACCCCACCCCACCCCAGTATCATCACACTCCTACAGAGGTACTCACCACCCCCGCCACCAGCTGATGGAAGTACCACTAGGAGCCACCCCACCCCACCCCAGTATCATCACACTCCTACAGAGGTACTCACCACCCCCGCCACCAGCTGATGGAAGTACCACTAGGAGCCACCCCACCCCACCCCAGTATCATCACACTCCTACAGAGGTACTCACCACTCCTGCCACCAGCTGACGGAAGTACCGCTGGGCGTCAGCCTGGCTCATTCCGACATCAGGTTCTGCAAGAAGAGGTGAACTCTATAGAATTGTATAGGAAATAACCAGTGATGTTCAGAACAATAAAAGATTACTTTAAGGCCACAAAGCTTTAATCATTAGAGTCTTATCAATATTCTCAAACTTGTGAGTTGGTATGAGCTACTGACACACAATAAGACAACGTTATTCCTGACCTATTCTGTCAAACAGCTCTCTCCACAACAGCGTTATTCCTGACCTATTCTGTCAAACAGCTCCCCACAACAACGTTATCCCTGACCTATTCTGTCAAACAACTCTCTCCACAACGTTATTCCTGACCGTATTATGTCAAACAGCTCCCTCCACAACGTTATTCCTGACCTATTCTGTCAAACAGCTCCCTCCACAACGTTATTCCTGACCGTATTATGTCAAACAGCTCCCCTCTACAACGTTATTCCTGACCTATTCTGTCAAACAGCTCCATCAACAACGTTATTCCTGACCTATTCTGTCAAACAGCTCCCTCCACAACGTTATTCCTGACCGTATTATGTCAAACAGCTCCCCTCCACAACGTAATTCCTGACCTATTCTGTCAAACAGCTCCCCTCAACGTTATTCCTGACCGTATTATGTCAAACAGCTCTCTCCACAACAATGTTATTCCTGACCGTATTATGTCAAACAGCTCTCTCCACAACAATGTTATTCCTGACCTATTCTGTCAAACAGCTCCCCTCAACAACGTTATTCCTGACCTATTATGTCAAACAGCTCTCTCCACAACAATGTTATTCCTGACCTATTCTGTCAAACAGCTCCCCTCAACAACGTTATTCCTGATCTATTCTGTCAAACAGCTCCCTCCACAACGTTATTCCTGACCGTATTATGTCAAACAGCTCCCCTCCACAACGTTATTCCTGACCTATTCTGTCAAACAGCTCCCCTCAACAACGTTATTCCTGACCTATTCTGTCAAACAGCTCCCCTCCACAACGTTATTCCTGATCTATTCTGTCAAACAGCTCCCTCAACAACGTTATTCCTGACCGTATTATGTCAAACAGCTCCCTCCACAACAATGTTATTCCTGACCTTTTATGTCAAACAGCTCCCCTCAACAACAACATTATTCCTGACCTATTTTGTCAAACAGCTCTCTCCACAACAACGTTATTCCTGACCTATTCTGTCAAACAGCTCTCTCCACAACAATGTTATTCCTGACCTATTCTGTCAAACAGCTTCCCTCCACAACAATGTTATTCCTGACCTATTCTGTCAAACAGCTCCCTCCACAACAACGCTATTCCTGACCTATTCTGTCAAACAGCTCCCCTCCACAACAACGTTATTCCTGACCTATTCTGTCAAACAGCTCCCCTCCACAACAACGCTATTCCTGACCTATTCTGTCAAACAGCTCTCTCCACAACAACGTTATTCCTGACCTATTCTGTCAAACAGCTCTCTCCACAACAACGTTATTCCTGACCTATTCTGTCAAACAGCTCCCCTCTACAACGTTATTCCTGACCTATTCTGTCAAACAGCTCCCCTCCACAACAACGCTATTCCTGACCTATTCTGTCAAACAGCTCTCTCCACAACAACGTTATTCCTGACCTATTCTGTCAAACAGCTCTCTCCACAACAACGTTATTCCTGACCTATTCTGTCAAACAGCTCCCCTCTACAACGTTATTCCTGATCTATTCTGTCAAACAGCTCCCCTCCACAACGTTATTCCTGACCTATTCTGTCAAACAGCTCCCCTCTACAACGTTATTCCTGACCTATTCTGTCAAACAGCTCCCCTCCACAACGTTATTCCTGACCGTATTATGTCAAACAGCTCCCTCCACAACGTTATTCCTGACCTATTCTGTCAAACAGCTCCCTCAACAACAACGTTATCCCTGACCTATTCTGTCAAACAGCTCCCCTCCACAACGTTATTCCTGACCGTATTATGTCAAACTGCTCACCTCCACAACGTTATTCCTGACCTATTCTGTCAAACAGCTCCATCCACAACGTTATTCCTGACCTATTCTGTCAAACAGCTCCCCTCTACAACGTTATTCCTGACCGTATTATGTCAAACAGCTCCCTCCACAACGTTATTCCTGACCTATTCTGTCAAACAGCTCCCTCAACAACAACGTTATCCCTGACCTATTCTGTCAAACAGCTCCCCTCCACAACGTTATCCCTGACCTATTCTGTCAAACAGCTCCCCTCAACAACGTTATTCCTGATCTATTCTGTCAAACAGCTCCCCTCTACAACGTTATTCCTGACCTATTCTGTCAAACAGCTTCCCTCCACAACGTTATTCCTGACCTATTCTGTCAAACAGCTCCATCAACAACAACGTTATTCCTGACCTATTCTGTCAAACAGCTCCCTCCACAACAGTGTTATTCCTGACCTATTCTGTCAAACAGCTCCATCCACAACGTTATTCCTGACCTATTCTGTCAAACAGCTCCCCTCTACAACGTTATTCCTGACCTATTCTGTCAAACAGCTCCATCAACAACAACGTTATCCCTGATCTATTCTGTCAAACAGCTCTCTCCACAACGTTATTCCTGACCTATTCTGTCAAACAGCTTCCCTCCACAACGTTATTCCTGACCTATTCTGTCAAACAGCTCCATCAACAACAACGTTATTCCTGACCTATTCTGTCAAACAGCTCCCTCCACAACAGTGTTATTCCTGACCTATTCTGTCAAACAGCTCCATCCACAACGTTATTCCTGACCTATTCTGTCAAACAGCTCCCCTCTACAACGTTATTCCTGACCTATTCTGTCAAACAGCTCCATCAACAACAACGTTATCCCTGATCTATTCTGTCAAACAGCTCTCTCCACAACGTTATTCCTGACCTATTCTGTCAAACAGCTTCCCTCCACAACGTTATTCCTGACCTATTCTGTCAAACAGCTCCATCAACAACAACGTTATTCCTGACCTATTCTGTCAAACAGCTCCCTCCACAACAGTGTTATTCCTGACCTATTCTGTCAAACAGCTCCATCCACAACGTTATTCCTGACCTATTCTGTCAAACAGCTCCCCTCTACAACGTTATTCCTGACCTATTCTGTCAAACAGCTCCATCAACAACAACGTTATCCCTGATCTATTCTGTCAAACAGCTCTCTCCACAACGTTATTCCTGACCTATTCTGTCAAACAGCTCCATCAACAACAACGTTATTCCTGACCTATTCTGTCAAACAGCTCCCTCCACAACAATGTTATTCCTGACCTATTCTGTCAAACAGCTCCATCCACAACGTTATTCCTGACCTATTCTGTCAAACAGCTCCCCTCTACAACGTTATTCCTGACCTATTCTGTCAAACAGCTCCCCTCTACAACGTTATTCCTGACCGTATTATGTCAAACAGCTCCCCTCTACAACGTTATTCCTGACCTATTCTGTCAAACAGCTCCCTCCACAACGTTATTCCTGACCGTATTATGTCAAACAGCTCCCCTCTACAACGTTATTCCTGACCTATTCTGTCAAACAGCTCCCTCCACAACGTTATTCTTGACCGTATTATGTCAAACAGCTCCCCTCTACAACGTTATTCCTGACCTATTCTGTCAAACAGCTCCCTCCACAACGTTATTCCTGACCTATTCTGTAAAACAGCTCCCCTCTACAACGTTATTCCTGACCTATTCTGTCAAACAGCTCCCTCCACAACGTTATTCCTGACCGTATTATGTCAAACAGCTCCCCTCCACAACGTTATTCCTGACCTATTCTGTCAAACAGCTCCCCTCAACAACGTTATTCCTGACCGTATTATGTCAAACAGCTCTCTCCACAACAATTTTATTCCTGACCGTATTATGTCAAACAGCTCTCTCCACAACAATGTTATTCCTGACCTATTCTGTCAAACAGCTCCCCTCAACAACGTTATTCCTGACCGTATTATGTCAAACAGCTCTCTCCACAACAATTTTATTCCTGACCGTATTATGTCAAACAGCTCTCTCCACAACAATGTTATTCCTGACTTATTCTGTCAAACAGCTCCCCTCCACAACAATGTTATTCCTGACCTATTCTGTCAAACAGCTCCCCTCAACAACGTTATTCCTGACCTATTATGTCAAACAGCTCTCTCCACAACAACGCTATTCCTGACCTATTCTGTCAAACAGCTCCCCTCCACAACAATGTTATTCCTGACCTTTTATGTCAAACAGCTCCCCTCAACAACATTATTCCTGACCTATTTTGTCAAACAGCTCTCTCCACAACAACGTTATTCCTGACCTATTCTGTCAAACAGCTCTCTCCACAACAACGTTATTCCTAACCTATTCTGTCAAACAGCTTCCCTCCACAACAACGCTATTCCTGACCTATTCTGTCAAACAGCTTCCCTCCACAACAATGCTATTCCTGACCTATTCTGTCAAACAGCTCCCTCCACAACAATGTTATTCCTGACCTATTCTGTCAAACAGCTCCCCTCCACAAGCATATTCCAGGAACAGGTACTGGATCTTGCCATCCTTCCGGAAGCCGTAGAACTTGATGATGGCTTCGTGAGTCAACATCCGATGGACACAGACCTAGGTAAAAACAGTGGGAATTACCTTATTACAGTGAGTGAGTGATGAGTGAGTAAGTTGGGTTTAACGCTGCTTTGAACAATATTCCAGTTCCATCACAGCGTTTCTACCCAATATGGGAGAAAAACAGAAGTGATGCAGTTCTCAGACATCTACCACTTCTGTGAAACCAACAAGCAGGGATATGGTGCCGACAAACCGAGAACCATAATCAGGCCGAACCAGGATTCTGGCGTGCCCAAGGGATGCAACTCTGCACAGCAAATTGCCGCACCTTAGATGACTGGGGCACCCACGCCACAGTATTATTACAGGTAAACTATTGCTTGAGAGTGAGTGAGTGAGTGAGTATGGTTTTATGCCGCTTTTAGCAATATTCCAGCAATATCACGGCGGGGGACACCAGAAATGGGCTTCACACATTTTACCCATGTCGGGAAGCGAACCCGGGTCTTCGGCGCGACGAGCGAACGCTTTAACCACTAGGCTACCCGACCGCCCCTTATTGCTTGAGAGAGTACACAAAGCTGTTGTCAACTATACAACTAATTCACATATTCATAGACCTGTGAATTAACAGCACAACTAGTGTAAGTGTTATTTTATAATTTTATATATAATATAATATGAAAAACCAATGTCAGAGATTCATCGTCTCGATAATCCACCCAGCAGATTCCACAAAAGGCAAAATAGAGGTGAGAATTATATGAATGGATCACTGCAAATCAGTGACAAACAATATCAACATGCTTAAGTACAGTCATTAATGAGAGAAACATACTGTTTGCAATGTAGAGCTAGGTTACCTGTAGATTAACATGTTGAACCCCCCTAAATTGAATTTGGGGCTGAACGTGGACGTCGTATCGGCTGTTGCAATCAGAGGGGGCTTATTGTGATTTGACAGCCTCTGATTGACCAATCAGAATCAAGTTTTCAAATTCGTGGTAGAATGACAACTATACTCGAGGATTCTCATTACAAATCGGTCAAGGTAGATAACTCCAGAGAGGACTCCCACCTCCTTCCGCACATTCTCCTCTGCTGTTGGGGTCTTTTCCAGGTTGATGATCTTCACAGCAACAGCTTCCTGGGTCTCATTGTTGACAGCAAGTTTCACCCTGGACAACAGGAAACACCATTACAGCAGCAGGCCCATCTCAACAGCGGCAGGCCCATCTCAACAGCAGCAGGCCCATCTCAACAGCAGCAGGCCTATCTCAGTGAGTGAGTGAGTGAGTTGGGTTTAACGCCGCTTTTAACAGTATTCCAGTTATATCACGGCGTGTCAGCTTAATGTGGGAGGAAAGCCCGAAGTGATGCAGGTCTCAGACGTTTACCACTTCGGTGAAACCCACGAGCACGGGTATGGTGCTGACAAACCTAGAAACATAATCGGGGCGAACCGGGATTCGAACCCACAATCATAGGTTTCTGGCGTGCGCAAGGGACGCAACTCTGCATAGCGAATCGCGACGCCTTAGGCGATTGGGCCACCCGTGCCCCCTGGGCCCATTTCAACAGCGGCACCATCAAAATGTTTCATTGAGAGTAACTTTACATTGTTATGTACCAGGTGAGGTGATATGGGGCTTAACATCACGTCTTGGACTGTTGCACTTACATATATAGCAGCGTGCATGCATGCACGTGTGTGTGTGGCTGCTTGTACCAGTCTCCACAAATGTCAATTTTATAGTGCTAGCCCACTGAGATACCATGCCGCAGTTGGTTGGTTTGTTGTTTAACGCCGCACTCAGCAATATTCCAGCTATATGACGGCGGTCTGTAAATAATCGAGTCTGGACCAGACAATCAGGACATTGATATCATGAGCATCGATCCACGCAATTTGGATTGATGACATGCATCAACCAAGTCAGCAAGCCTGACCACCCGATCCCGTTAGTCACCTCTTACGACAAGCATAGTCGCCTTTTTACGGCAAGCATGGGTTGCTGAAGATCTGTTCTACCCCGGATCTTCACGGGCCGTACCATGCAGCAGTTGAATACCCAACTCAGACAGTATACGGACTCTGGGCTTGCAAGTCCTTGTTTTATCCCCTGAATGCCAAGCACCATTCAGGGTAACAAGTACATTTTAACGTCTTTTGATTCTCCGCGCCGATGCTCTACCACTAGAGCACGGAGGCTCTTTACTCACTCCCGATATCCTCCATCCCCCACCACCTGCACAAAGCAACCATGGCAACACAGGGACTACACAGGGACTACTCACTTCCGATACCCTCCCTCCCCAACCACCTGCACAAAGAAACCATGGCAACACAGGGACTACACAGGGACTACTCACTCCCGATATCCTCCCTCCCCAACCACCTGCACAAAGAAACCATGGCAACACAGGGACTACACAGGGACTACTCACTCCTCCACCACCTGCACAAAGAAACCATGGCAACACAGGGACTACACAGGGACTACTCACTCCTCCACCACCTGCACAAAGAAACCATGGCAACACAGGGACTACACAGGGACTACTCACTCCTCCACCACCTGCACAAAGAAACCATGGCAACACAGGGACTACACAGGGACTACTCACTCCTCCACCACCTGCACAAAGAAACCATGGCAACACAGGGACTACTCACTCCCCAACCACCTGCACAAAGAAACCATGGCAACACAGGGACTACTTACTCCTCCACCACCTGCACAAAGAAACCATGGCAACACAGGGACTACTTACTCCTCCACCACCTGCACAAAGAAACCATGGCAACACAGGGACTACTCACTCCCCGTACGCTCCCTCTCCCAGAACCTGCACAAAGTCCCAGCCATCAACAAATGCTGTCACCATCCTCGTCTCCTCACATCACTGACAGGAACACTGCAAATAACAACATCAGGGTAAACAAGGATATTCACTATTACTAAAAACTGAGCTGAATCTCATACTTTTACACTAAAATCAGGGACAGACACCATCGCTAGAAGACTAGATAGAGGGACTTGCTTACTCCTCATATCTTTTAATGAGTGGGTGAGTTGGGTTTTCCAGTTATATCACGGCGTGTCAGCTTAATGTGGGAGGAAAGCCCAAATTGATGCAGGTTTAAGACGTTTACCACTGACAAACCTAGAAACATAATTGGGGCAAACCGGGATTCTCACATGTCTGACCCACAATAATAGGTTTCTGGCGTGCCCAGGGGACGCAACTCTGCACAGCAAATCGCAGAGCCTTAGAGGACTGGGCCACCCGTGCCCCCTATCTTTTAATGAAATGAACTATGGACTGGTTAGATTTAGCCACTGGTGTCTACTGAATGTGTTTGCAGCGTTAGAAATTGGCACTAGTCCTGTAGGCCTTACCAAACTGCCCAATAGTAAAGGTATCCTAAGGACAAGTAGAAATTGGCCCATTTTAAGGGTTTTGCTATATGTTATCATTGTGAGGACTAGTGGACGAAAACTGTTAGTTTCTAACCCTGGTTTGATTGGCATTTCCTAGAGGACAGAACTTATGGATAATAACTTCTTATATATGCATTACAGCAATTTATGGATAACATTTCGAATATGCCTAATAGCAATTTATGGATAACATTTCGAATACGCTTAATAGCAATTTATCGATAACAACTTCTTTAATATGCTTTATTATAGCATATGCACGTGTATGTGTGTGTGTGTGGCTGCTTGTACTAGTACCATGTCACAGATGTTCGATCGAGAACCTATCAGCCAACACAGATGAGAAAACCTAGTCAAGTACGTGCCTGTTAAACTGTAATTCTCCTCAGAATGAGTAAACAGACACACAATTTTGCAGTAGGCATGGTGACGTAGCGATCACACAAACTGAACCTGCCAACTGCATTGCCGGATGCTGTTGACATCACAACTAGAAATAAAAATAACCTCATCTAGCTGCGTGTATACACAATCTACAACGAGACACGTGACTAAATACCGTTAAATATAATATCAAGTGTGATATTATTCAGCATCCGTGTTCAATAGCTAAAGAGACTCATAGTCGTTTCCTCCACTCGTTTTCCCATTTTGTGCTTGCCGCCATTGCTGTTTGTCACGTGATTTTCTGGTATCACGTGATACATATAAATAGGCCCTGGAAACAGGCGAATCCGTCCTTTGTGATTTGGGAATGCGAAAAAAAAAACAACAACAACAACGCAAATGCACAAAAAGATGCAGTAACGGATTTTTTTACTGCAGTCATCAATCGCTTAAACTGAGAGTCTACCAGATATTGTGTAACTGTGAAAACCAGGAAGTCACACGGGGCAGAGAGGGGCGGTCGGGTAGCCTAGTGGTTAAAGCGTTCGCTCGTCACGCCGAAGACCCGGGTTCGATTCCCGACATGGGTACAATGTTTGAAGCCCATTTCTGGTGTCCCCCGCCGTGAAATTGCGGGAATATTGCTAAAACCATACTCACTCACTCACTCGCTTCTCAACCCCCCATGCATCATCCAATTTAAGTCAGCGAGCCTGACCACCCGATGTCGTTAGTCGCCTTTTACGACAAGCAGAGTCGCCTTTTCCAGCATGGGTTGCTGAAGACCTATTCTACCCCGGATCTTCACGGGTCTGGTCATGTGATGAAACAGGGATTGGTGTCGTCAATAGCTTCTCATATCTGGGAATTATATTTACTTATAACAATACGTTTATTATTCATGAAAAGCATGTTTAATTATAATATTAGGTTTGCTATTGCTGAAAAAGGCCGCAAGGCAACAATTACTTTATTTTATATCCCCAAGTCTCTTTGTCTCAGTCCTGACACACTATTGTTGTTGTTTGTTAGTTATACGGGTAGCGTTTTATGTTTGTTTGTTTGTTTGTTTAACTCCGCACTCAGCAATATTCTAGCTATATGACGGCGGTCTGTAAAGAATCGAGTCTGGATTGACATCAGGAGCATTGATGAATTGTGATACGATGACATGCATCAACCAAGTCAGCAAGCTTGACCACCGATCCCGTTAGTCGCCTCTTACGACAAGCATGGGTCGATGAAGACAAATTCTACCCCGGATCTTCAGGGGTGAAGCGTTATTTGTTAGGCTCCAGCTAACTGGGGCTGAAAGCGTAGGATAATGTGGAGCGATTAATCGTGATTTCTGTAAGCGATTGTTAGATGTTAAAAAATCTGCATGTAATGACATGGTGTATGCCGAGCTAGGCCGCTTCCCATTATAATACAGTTATAACTACGGTTATAGCGAACGAGAAGGAACCACTAATTTTAGTTCGTAATAACCGTAGTTTGTTACAGGCATATATAAAGCATTTATACAAGAAATGGTCGGGACTAAAAAATAAATTCGTTATATCGGTCTGTTCGTTATAAGCGTATTCGTTATAAACGTAGTTTACTGTACATGTATAAATGAATGTAAATATTATTGAATATTGGAGTTAATTGTTATCAACTGATAACTGTCTCCCACGTGGCTTCCATGAATGTCTATAGAAAGACAATTGAATGTGTAAACTGGTCGTTCGCGATTTGCACTGTACTCAAATCCTGAAGGGGCGGTCGGGTAGCCTAGTGGTTAAAGCGTTCGCTCGTCACGCCGAAGACCCGGGTTCGATTCCCGACATGGGTACAATGTGTGAAGCCCATTTCTGCTGTCCCCCGCCGTGATATTGCTGGAATATTGCTAAACGCGGCGTAAAACCAAACTCACTCACTCACTCAAATCCTGAAAGTATGCAACGCAACATTTTGATCACCCGGAATTTTCTCCGCAAAGACGCAGTATTTAGCTGATCGTTGAGTCTTCCGGTATTGTACTTTTACTCTGCTGCACAAGTTATTGTTTGTCTCCATTTTTATGGTTCTGTCAATCTCCACTCACTTCTACTGAAACGGGCCGCCTCCGTGGTCTAGTGGTAGAGCGTCCGCCCGGAGAGCGGAAGGTCCGGGGTTCGATCCCGGCCGCGTCATACCAAAATACGTTAATAGATGGTACTTGTTGTTACCCTGTCTGGCGCTCGGCATAAAGGGGCTAAAACAAGGACTGGTCGGCTCGGAGTCAGTATACTGTGTCTGAGTGGGGTATTCATGTTAAACTGCGGCATGGTATCTCAGTGAGCTAGCACTATACATCGGCATCAGTCTGGACTAGTACAAGCAGCCACACACACATACACATGCATGCACGTCGCTATATAAGTGCAATAATCTTGGACGCGACGTCAAACCCCATTTCACCTCACCTCACCTCACCTCACCTCACCTCACCTCACCTATTGTTTGTCTCCATGCTTATGGTTCTGACAATCTCCACTCACTCCCACTGAAATGCGTAACAGACATTCTGTTGACACACACGGGAAACTGCCAAATGTGTAGCCGACTATATATTTCAATGGCTTTGTTTAAGTTATAAAATCTCTTATTTGCGAGCGCTTAATTTTGTGCAGATGCAAATTTCGTTCACAGATAACATTTTTCTACATAAACAAAATTGCATACAGTAAACTACGTTTATAACGAACACGCTTATAACGAACTGACGGATATAACGAACTTACTTTTTTGTCCCGACTATTTGCTGTAGTTATGCTGTATATATGCTTATAACGAACTACGGTTATAACGAACTAAAATTAGTGGTCCCTTTGAGTTCGTTATAACCGCAGTTTACTGTACGTTGTTTCATTATTTCGATAGAAACGAAAGCATACTTTGGGGCCGATGTCAATTCGAAACTTTGCAGTGTGCCATTGTCCCAGCCACGGGTCAGGGGTCATTTAAAACACTTGGTCAATGTTTACGCGATTAGATACATCGGATCCGAGTTGACAGCAGGACTTAATACATCAATGTCAACATTTACAAATCTGAAGATACGTTGCTTTTTTCGCCATTTTTTTCTTTACCGCCAAATTGTCGATTCCCGACATGGGTACAATATGTGAAGCCCATTTCTGGTGTCCCCCGCCGTGATATTGCTGGAATATTGCTAAAAGCGGCGTAAAACCATACTCACTCACTCACTCACTCACTCTCACAGTAAACTTCAGGACCAGTGGTACGGGAGGCCCAGTCGTCTAAGGCGCCGCAATTCGCTGTGCAGGGTTTCGTCCCTTGGGCACGCTAGAAACCTATGATTGTGGGTTCGTATCCCGGTCCACCCCGATTATGTTTCTAGGTTTATCAGCACCATACCTGTGCTCGTGGGTTTCACCGAAGTGGTAAATGTCTGAGACCTGCATCACTTCGGGCTTTCCTCCCACATTAAGCTGACACGCCGTGATATAGCTGGAATAGTGTTAATCAGACGTTACATTTCTACTGCAGGATCAATGATACAGATAGACCTGACGTAAAGACATTAAAATGATTTAGTTTTCACCATAACGCCCTTCCACATTGATACACTTTTTTCCAACGACGTTAAAGGGATTTTATTCGAAATGGGTTCCGACTACAGGTTTCTTCATGCTTGGGAACATATGGAAGTCTGACGGTTTTTATTGTTGTTTGGAGTCAGGCAGGAAGTGATGAACCAAGTCTCACCCATAGTCTCAAAACGTTGCAAGAACCTTTCTGGATAAGCTTCAAACAGACATAAATTATCACATGTTCTGCTTGCGTGTTTTGGATCAGATGTCAGAAGCTTTTGTACCCAACGAGCTGATAATTTCAAAGTTTGTGTGATACTGAAATGTACTCTCTCCTAGGATATACCTACCGAGCTATAGAAATATGACGCTTACTCATTTCAAAGTTTGTGTGATACTGGAATTTACTCTCTTCTAGGAAATGCCTACTGAACTATAGAGATATGACGCTTACTCATTCGCCGGACGGCCATTGCCAGTCGTGGATTCTCTGAATCAATTCTATAGGGTTGCTGAAGTCAAAGGCCTTCCGTGACGGGGCTCCTCTTCAAGGCTGTGTCTGTTACGCTTAAACTCTACTATCAAACACAGGAAGGGGCATCCTTCCCTTGTGTTATATCTTCATGGATCACGTGTCAAGCCACTTTTCTTCAAGTACTTGATCACTTCACCTTCCTCCATTTCCCAAGGTCACAGACCCCTCCTTACTGTACGTATACTGACTCGTCACAGCGAACCAAGCAGCTCAGTTGTCTCAAGGCTGGTTGGTTTGTTGGTTTGTTGTTTAACGCCGCTCTCAGCAATATTCCAGCTATATGACGGCGGTCTGTAAATAATCGAGTCTGGACCAGACAATCCAATGATTGACGTCATACACGCAGTTGCTCGTGGGTTTCACCAAAGTGGTAAAGGTCTAAGACCCGCATCACTTCGGGCTTTCCTCCCACATCAAGCTGACACGCCGCGATATAACTGGAATACTGTTAAACGCGGCGTTAAACCCAACTCTCTCCTCAGTTATTGTTGTTTGTTGTGTAACGCCGCACTCAGCAATATTCCAGCTATATGACGGCGGTCTGTAAATAATCGAGTCTGGACCACACAATCCAGTGATTGACATCATGAGCATCGGTCCACGCAATTGGGATCGATGATAGCATCCACCAAGTCAGCGAGCCTGATCAGCCGATCCCGTTAGTCGCCTCTTACGACAAGCATAGTCGCCTTTTACGGCAAGCATGGGTTGCTGAAGACCTTTTCTACCCCGGATCTTCACGGTTGGGGGCGGTCGGGTAGCCTAGTGGTTAAAGCGTTCGCTCGTCACGCCGAAGACCCGGGTTCGACTCCCGACATGGGTACAATGAGTGAAGCCCATTTCTGGTGTCCTCCGCCGTGATATTGCTGGAATATTGCTTAAAGCGGCGTAAAACCATACTCACTCACTGAAGGTGTTGTGGTTATACCACTATGTCATCATGCCGTATCCACTGCAACATCTTTCACTTTTACGTATATATATCTATGCGAGGCTCAGAACTCGTCAATCAACACTCGTATTACAATGTATCCCCGTGTTAATAATAGAGTGAGTGAGTGAGTGAGTTATATCACGGCGTGTCAGCTTAATGTGGGAGGAAAGCCCGAAGTGATGCAGGTGTCAGACGTTTACCACTTCGGTGAAACCTACGAGCACGGGCATGGTGCCAACAAAC